GCTTGAGCGGACTGCAAAAGTACTGGATGCATGAAATTCACGCTCGACAGGCGCTCGACCCCCGCTCGAGCGTGAGACACAAGTCTTCGCTCGAGCGTACATCCCCTCGCTCGAGCGGACTGTAAACACATACAAAGTACTGGATACACGCATTTCACGCTCGAGCGCTACTTTTCTCACTCGAGCGGACTGCATGAACTCAGAGTGTACGCTCGAGCGTGGAGTTCCTCGCTCGAGCGTGGATCCAAAATCTAGAATTTTCAGATTTGTCTCCAAGCATGAAACTCAACATTTAAAGCATCAAATTCGATCCTTTTGGGCTAATTTTCTAGAAAATACTTTAAAACTCATAATATGACATATTTCAAAGATCAATTTGCAAAATCAAAGCCCAAAGGTAGTTCAATTGAACCCATTTCTAAACAAAACTTCAAAAACATGATGAACATGCAACATGCATGAATTTAATCAACTTTAAAGCTTCCAATGCATGATCAAATGAGTCAATTCACTCCAAAACATGATGAATTCATGGACTATAACCCAAATATGGACATGCATATGAGGATTCTAAGAAAACAACCTCAAAACTCAACAATGTAAACATGCATACAAGATTTAAGCTTCAATTCAACATGTTAGAACCAATTCTAGACTTAGATTACTAAAGACTCAATAACCATGCAAGGTACAACTAGAATTCATAATAAAAAAGATGAATATCCTACCTTATGTCTTCAACTTCAAGAATGGAAGCTCAAGTATACAAATTTCCTTCAAATCTTCTAATTTTCCAAGCCAATTTTAAAGAACTCAAGTTGTCACCTATCTCTCTCTCTCTCTTTTTCGGTTGAGTCTAGTGAAATGGAAGAGATGATGAAATGGTATGTCTAAGTGTATGAATTGAGCCTCAAGATGTTAATAAAAGTGGCCCACTAGATGGCATTTTGGTAATTAATGCAACTAATGTAATTCAACACTATTTAATCCAATTTAATCATACCAAATCAAATTTTAATTAAACATACCATAAAATCGCATAAATTCTAATTAACATGAAACACTAATCAATTTCAGATTCGGCCGCCGATAAGACCTTCAATTTGCAGTTTAAAACATAAAACATGAACAGATCATTTAACAGTCAAACAGATAGATTTGCATTTAAACTAAAACACTCAATCAATCAGTTCAGAATTTTGGTCAATCAATCACTTAACATGCTTAATCATAGATTAGCACTAATCAGTGGTGAGGGTTGTCATAGTCGCCGGCGTTGGCGTTGGGATATTGGGATCAGATATAAAGCCGAAGTTGACGGCTGCTCTGCTGGATCAGAAGTCGATCCCTGATCTGGTTGAGATGTGGAGGCAGCTTGAGGAGTTGTGGCGGAAGGAGGAGACAGACTCTTCTTCTTCTTCTTCTTTGGAACGTCGGGAAGAACCGACTTATAAGTCGGGATAAAGTTGAGTAGCAGAGGAGCTCTGCGCTTGTGGACTGGTAGGTCCAGTAGCTTCTTCAGACCCTTGCTAGGGAAAAAAGACTTTCGGAAGCCTTTTTCTGGTTTTGGAAAAGCTGCAAGAAAAAACGGACGTTAGAATAAACAAAGTATTGAAGACTTTAAAAACAAGTAAGTATGAACACAGGGCTCTTACCATTACCCTCTACAAAAACTGTTCGAGGAAGAGGGAAGAGGTGGAGGTCTTTATCTGGAGCAAACTCCCAATTTCCCGAGGTAATGAAGTAATCATCCCCAGCTCCCTTGTTGGAGTCTGGGAGGTCGGCAACAATTTTGTACTCTGTGGACCTCGGTTTGAGGTAGTAAACATAACCTATATCTTTTTTGAGGCCACACATGGTGTAGCAATATTGGATGTTGGCTAAGGTAACCCTAGCATTTTCTTGTTTGGCTAAGGCAATTATACCATTTATGACTCGGTAGGAATTGATGACAAGCTGCATTGGGTTCAACTTATAATAATGGATTATCTCACAAAAAAGGATATCGAGTGGGAGCCGAAGTCCGCACTCGATGAAAGCCACAATAGGGAGGGGCATAGAATCAGTTGTGGGCATGATAGAGTCATCCTCCCTAGCCAACCTCAGATGGACGTCGGTAGGGATGGAAAACTCTCGCCTAAAGTATTCTAGCTTGGTCGGGGTGTTTACCCTATGCCTCCACATACCCATAATATCGGCTTAAGTGAAATGTGTGAGACTTCGGAAGGAAATGTTTTGTGATGACTTTGAATGACCTTGGCTAAAATTGACGACCAAATACATTTCAGTTTTTCCTAAAAAAATTTGGGTTCTACAAACAAATCCCAAACCTAGATCTACGGGAACAAAGATTGAAGGCAGGAATCTGGAAAAGACACAGAAAACAAAAACGTGTTTCAGAATCAAGAACAATGATGAACTACCAAGAACACTGTGACAAAGTGTGTGCAAGGGTACAAGGCCAAGAATAATGGCACAAGTGAACAAATGTGTGTGCAGGTTGTGAATACTCAAGAAAGGATTAGGCAAAAACAAAATCGCGAGGCAACCATACTCAGATACATGAACAGATTAAACTAATCAAGGTCATAAGTAAGTTCGCAAAAATGATAGAGATTCGAGATACCATCAAAAACTGAAACTAGGAGGAACAGTGGCTTACCAGAAAAAGTGAAGCCGGTATGAAGATCGCCGAAGTCAGACGATGGTTGCAAAAACGACAGAGCAGTGAAAATCTCGCTGGAAGAGGTAAACGGAGCAAGTTGCAGAGCTAGAGAAGCATGAACAATGGCAGATCTTGGAGGAAAAAGTTAGAAAGAGAAAGAAGCTTCAGAAGCGACGGTATAAAGTGAAAAGACAAAGAGAGGGGGAAAAGTTTTGTCAAAACTTGAAACGACGGCAAAAGGGCATTTAATGTGCCCAAACCAGACGGCGCACGCGAGAACAAATCGAATTAGTGACGCGTGACGGGTACTGTGACAACCCTCACCTCTGATTAGTGCTAATCTATGATTAAGTATGATAAGTAACTGATAAGAATGAAATTCTAAACTGATTGTATGAGTGTATTGTTTTGAATGTATTTCTATCTGTTTGATTTCTGAATGAATCTGTTTATGTTTTAACTTTGAACTGCGAATTGGAAGCCGTATCGACGACCGAATCAAAAAATGATTAGTGTTATATGCTAATTAGGATTTAGGTGATTTTATGGTAGGTGAGAGGGTGATTTATGATCTGGAGTTGGGCCGAGGTAGCGACCGAGCAGGTTGAGAGCCCAACAGCGCATTGGGTCGAGATGATGTACTATTCGCCCAGAGATGGGCTGCCAGAACTTGGGCCGGGCAGAACTTGGGCCGAGTGCGTCCCAGTCCGTAAAGAAGCGGCTCGGCAAGGCAGTGCTCGGTCGGACCAGGATGCTCGGCCCGAGGATAAGGCGAAATACTAGGGTGGATAAAACCCTTATTTAGCAGCTCTTGGAGTTGAATCTGTAGCTCTTGGAGTTGAATCTTCAACTCACTCAACTTGGCGGGTGCAAATCTATATGGTGCCATAGAAATCAGTGCCGTACCTGGCACTAAATCAATTGAGAACTCAATCTCACGGTGAGGTTTGGTGCCGTGATGGAAACGCAACCATTCGCTCGAGCGAACAACTCCTCGCTCGAGCGAAGAACCAAAAACCTGGACAGCAACACTTGGTTTCTAAACCCAACCAACCTGAAACAAACCTGCCCAACACATCCTATAATTCCAAATGAGAAAATAAGGGACAACAACAACAATTATACAATGACAGAATCTACGGAACCTAAGTCCGGATACAATAATCAAGTGGGAAAAGACCGGGGTCGCTATAGTTTGTTATCATTGCATAGCTAATCTAGTAGTTTAATCACTACTAGTTGATATTGTTAACAAATTTTCCTAATAGAAAAGTCCATGAAATCAAGAACTTCACAAACCTTCAGTAATTTTTTTAGCGTTAGAGTAGTTAGGAAAGATTGTAAAATTGGCTTAGTTGAGGCCCAAAATTCAAATTTGAGAGTTTGTTTTCAAATAACATTTGAAGAGGAATAGTTTATATGTTTTCTGCTGTAAATTTAGCATTTTACAAATTAATTCAGGTGTTTCAACTTCATCTATTTAGATGTAGGGGAAGCAGCACTTGGTACATTTTTTGGTTGTGATTGATGACTACCTTTATGTATCATCTAAATTCCAAGGAAATGTTTTTACTTTATGTTTTGTCACCATTTGGTTTTCCATTTGATATATGATCACTATAAATGGAAATGTAAGAGGAATAGACTAAACTGATATGCAATGTTGTAGTGAAATAAGATTTCAATTTATTTAATTTAACTGTATATATAGCTCTTGACAGAGCGGAAAGGCAAAAAATGAAAACCAACACAAGACTTAGTTTGGTTTGATTTTCTTTTTAACAAGTTTTCACTTTTTATATTTTTCCAAGAAGGGATAAAGGAGTTAATCCTACTTGTACTGTCAAGCATGTAATCCAGTATGAATGTCACAAATTTGAGTTGATGGTGGTTATTTTTTGAAGTTTGTGATCACAATACAGTTTAGTTTCACCCCCTAATTATATATATATATATATGTGTGTGTGTGTGTGTGTGTGTGTGTGTGTGTGTGTGTGTGTGTGCATATCTATACACATACATATATGTATATGTTTGATTTTCTAAACAAAAGGTTTGTTATTTTCAATTGGGGTGGCTAATTTTGTTAGACTAGAATTATTGAGTTGTTTATAGCCATTTGTGGAAACCATTGATTCATCATCGTCATCCTTATTCCTTCGTACATTATCTGATCAATGGTTATATATAATTCCAAATGGAAACTATTGACAATTGGGATTACTAGGTGGTTCAGTTTTCTGATGAACTTTAGGTATGATTTGCAAGAGAATATAAAAATGGCTGACTATATTAGTCTGTGCGTGGTGTGTGTTTTTGGACTTTTTTTATCAAATCATGATCATCCTCTTTTACTTTTATGTAACAGATAATCAATATTAAATTTGTAATGAAGGAAAGATTTACTTCCCTCCCACTTACAAGTACTCAAATAATTCAGACAGATATGCGGGGGATGATATGCACCCTAAAGAGAAGAGAAGAACACCTGCATGGTAATCTGTTTTATTCATTTAATTGATAAATTAAAAAGAGCGAGGAACTTGAATCCACACAAGTGGCTCAAAAACTGATTTGAGTACTAATTAGCTATTTTTTTATGTGAAGGTGTGATCGGATATTGTGGTATGGTAGAGGCCTTTATCAAACATCTTATGTTCGTGGAGAGTCAAGATTCTCGGATCACAGACCAGTCTATAGCATATTTTTGGCTGAGGTTGAGTCTATTAATCGTAGTCGAACCAAGAAAGGTATCGGTTGTTCTAGTTCTAGGATTGAGGTTGAGGAATTATTGCCACAGTCGCTTGGATACAATGGCCTTAATTTCTATTAAGGAATGAATCCACATTTTAAGGTAAGATCTCACTCTCTCTCCCTATCTTCGCTCCGTACCTGGTTTTTTGATGATTTCACTTTTAAGATTATTCTCTTTTGTTTTGTAGGGCAAGGAACGATCTGTTTTTTGTTCACCAAGATACAAAAGCAGTTTTAGTGCTTCAGAATGGTACTACTGAATTTCTTTTTGATTGAATAAAGTTCCTTTTGATTCCTTCCTCCTTTCAATTGAAATAGGTTCTTGTGGACTATTAACAGGATTTGAGGCAAATTCTGAAACCCATGAGAGAAATTTAATTTTTCCCATCAATTCAACCTGATCTTGATGCCTCTTTCAATAAGGTGATCACTCAACTTCTCTGAATTCTTCATTTTTTCAACCAAAAAAAAAAGAAAAAAAGTTTTTTTTATCGAATTGGTGACAATGACCGATCAATAAGTTGCATATTTTGTGGTCCATGGCCATGGGATCTACCATTTGCACAAAACAGAACGCTTGACTCTTTTTTTCCGGGCATTTAATAAAACTGAGGGCTATTTTGAATTCAACTTTTACAATAAAAGAGCAGTACTCTTGCCATATTTTTCTGAAAGTGTTGTTGTAAATCAAGCCTTTCTCTATTAAAGATCTGTTGCTTGGTCTTACTGGTTACCTTTGTTAATCCAATAATGTGTGTTCAACCAGACCAGAGTCTAATGTCTATGGTCAAGCAGCATCAAATTTGGTTGCTGGAAGTAACCTTGACAGAGCGGTCCGGCAAATTCTTGATATGGGTGGAGGGACTTTGGATAGGGATATTGTTGTTCGAGCTCTTCGTGCTGCTTACAACCCAAAGAGAGCTGTTGAATATTTATATTCTGTCAGCATCTTTACTTGTATTTGATCTCTTTTGTGAATTTATTTTTCAAATGGGAAGTGCAGAAGCATGACGAAAATTTTTGTTTTTGATTTACGTTATTTAGATTTGTGAACAACATTATGTATTGGATAATTTTGTTGATGTATTGTTATGAATGGAAGAACATTTTAATTATGGATGAATTATTATTTTTATACAGGACTTTTTATATTATTATGTAATTATTGATTTTTTTTATAGTTATTTTTCATTTAATACAGGTTATTTTTATATATTTATTTATTTATTTTTTGAGAGGTAATCCACTCACCTTCTCAAATAGGGGTTTTTTGCGACGGCAGTAATGCGTCGCAAAAGATAGGGCATTTGGTTGAAAATGAGGACTTTTAGCGACGGTGAAATTTGCTGTCGCCAATAGTGCTTTAGCGACGGCACCAAGTGCTGTCTCAAATAACCTTTTAGCGACGGTACTTGTGCCGTTGCAAATACCCCTTTTAGCGACGGCAAAACATTGCCGTCTCAAAAAAATTTCAAATTTTGACACGTTAATGGCGACGACATTTTTCCGTCACAAAAGGCTTTTTTGCCGTCGCAAACCAAAGGCGACAGCGTCATACCGTCGCTAAAGCCCTTTTGCAACCCCCTCTGTTGCGACCCCCCACTTGCCGTCGCAAAAGGCCACTTACCGTCGCAAAAAAACTTTTGAGACGGCGTTTTGGGTATTTGCGACGGCATTTTACCGTCGTAAAAAATCAATTTTTTTGTAGTGTTTAGATATATATAGGCAATCCAAAAAATATACGTAAACAGCAAACAAAATGTGAAGAAATGAAAAACAAATATAATAAATATGAAACATTTTAAATGTATGTATATTGAGTAAATATAAATCAAAAAAGCAGTTTTAAAATTTTAAAAATGTTTTTACAAACTAGTATAGACATATGAAACTCTATCATATAAACTATATTAGATCTATTTACAAAGTACATTTAGATTACCTATGTAAAAGACGTAAACAATATATATATATATATATATAACAATAAAAAAATAAAAATAAAATTGACTATAATATTGTAAAAAGTTTTGATTACGCATGTAAACAAAAGTAAACAATATTGACTATAATATTGTAAAAAGTTTCGACTATACGACAAAAAAAAAAAATACAAGACCCAAAAACACTCTAATTAAAAACTAGTTTTGAAAACTCCTAACTAAAGAAGTTTTTAATTTGTAAATTTTTAAAAATTAATTTCAAAATATACAACTCAAAAACTAATTTCAAAACTCATAACCAAACAAGCTTTATAATTTTAAAACTCTTTTTAATAATTTATCTTCTAAAATGAATTTCAAAATTAAACCAAGTGGAAGTTTTGATAAACATGCAAGGTTACTAAGTGTAATTTACCCAACATATGGCATTTCTCTTTAGTGAATAACAGAAGAGTATTGTACCCAAAAAAAATTGTAAAAGAACATATGTTGTTTGGGAAGAAAACAAAGGGGAGGGAATAAGGGAGTCAATTAACTTGCTTGAGAAGGCTAATCTGTAAACGTTTTATTTTCTTTTGTTTTTTGTTTTATCAGCAAATGTAAGGCCCTCAAACAAATAACATTAAACCCATTAAATAAGATTCATTAGCATATGAAGTAACCACATTATTCCATTTATCAGATTTCCATTACATAAGTATTACATGTTAACAACAAAAGCAAAATGCCCTACGGGCTTACAGCTTTCCAAGTTAACACTTGGTTACAACAAAAATTATTAACGTTGTGTTTTGCTGGAGAATTTGATGAGGAAAATGAAAACAGAAAAGAAAATAGAAATAAAAGAAGAAATAATTGATAGGATTCAAATTTTAAGATACATTTGGTTGAATTGGGAAATGGAAAAAGAAAAGAACTTAGACTGTGTTTGGTTGGAGGATTTGATAAAAGAAATGAAAAGGAAAAAAGAAAATATAATATCACTTTTTGTTTAGTTATAATGAAAAACACAATAGAAAAGAAAATAAGAGGGAAATACAATCCACTTTTTGTGTTTTGGATTTAGTTAGGCTCTTTATTTTTTTCAATTCCCAACTTAACCAAATGTAGCTTGGAATTCAAATTCTATCAATTCTTTCTTTTTTTTCTTTCTATTTCTCTTTTCCTTTCTATTTCTCTCATCAAATCATTTAACCAAACACAACCTTCTCTTGAGTTACACCATGTAAACTTTTTACCACTCAATGGCAAGTCAGACACTTCACAACTTTCAATGAACTCATTAAACTCCCTCATCCCCTTGTCTCTTCTAGAGCACCCTTTCCTTTCACCAATGTTCCTTGTTTCATTAAAATCCCCACCCAAGCACCAAGGTTTAGGAAAATCCTTCTTTAATTTTACTAAGCTATTCCAGAGCTTGTTTCTTAACCTCACTTCATTAGGTGCATAAACATTTACAATTGCACACTCAAAAGAATTAAAAAAGGTACCTGAGAGCAATATGAACCTCCTTCTGCTACAACACTGTGCTATCTGAAACATCCCTGGGTCCCACACACAAAGTAATCCCCCAGCTGCACCCTCAGAATCCACAGTCATAAATTCCATGTTATCCTTAGGCCATAATAACCTTACTTCAACCTCCAAGATCTCAGTTTTCTTGGTTTCCTGTAATAGTTCCATGTCTACCTTTCTTTCCTTTCTTTTCCTTCTGGCCCAACCCGCTTGCATTCCATGTTAATAACTGCATAATAAAATGATGATACTCTTTTATTTCTCCCCAATTAGTAGGTGCTTTATGCCTCACCTGTTTCCCCCCTTTCAATTCTTTGCTTATCCTCAAGCTCAACCTCCACATTCTGGTGAAGCACTTCATCCTCCTTCCCATTGTAATTTACTCCCAACACTTTTCCCATTTTCAGAGTTGCTTGGGCTTCAGTCAATATATGCCTCCCTTTATCTGACCCATTCTCACCTGAAGCTAATAGAGAGATGGCTGCTGCTGCTGCTGCTCTCCACACTGCAGCTTTTGGCACTACTTTGCTTGTCGAGGCCCCTTTACGCTCATATCTTCGAAGTAGACTAAGGGGACCCTTTTTGGGGTGTAAGTACCCATGTTTAGCTGAAAAACTAACATTCTTCTTCCCCTTTTTGTTTTGTGCAGGTCGACAACTGGGCTCCAGCTCCTGAGCTTCAGATATACTAGGGCTATTTTCAACTGTCCCAGTTGCACCCCCACCCTCCTTACTATTGCTTGTCTGATCCTTATTAACCCTGCACTTTCAATTGTAACTCTCAATCTTTTGCACTTTTTTTTTTTTGACTAACAAAAAGAAAACTTTATTGATGAAAAATATACAAAGTATGATAACGTACATCAATAAAGAGAGTGAAAAAAGCATCACAGTGAATCATCAAGATCCCAACTAGGTTGGCACTAAGATGAACACCAAATCATCTGCTAGCACAACCAGGTCAATCTTTTACACTTTAAGTCATATTGTAATCCGACCTTTCCGTCCATTTGTCGTTAACAAAGTTGACAGAATTTGTCATTTGAAACATATGTTATATTTTTGTTGTCTCATTAGCACCTTTACACTTTTGCTAAAATCTCACTTTAATAATCCTCACGCTTTCACCAAAGGTCACTTTAGTTCAGGTGAAAGTCTTGTGGAAACATCACGGAGTGGAGGAGGCCACTTGCGAACGTGAGTTGGAAGTCCGCGAAAAATATCCGGACTTGTTTGATGTTATGTAATCATGTATTTAAATTTTGAACTATTGTTGAACTTAAGAGCTTTTATGTATATCTTAAGTTGTGAAACATTGAAAATGTTTTGGTTTATTGGAAGTATGTTTTGGAACTTGCCTCATATGGAAGTTGAATGTAACATTATATATGTTGAATATGTTGTTGGAATTGGAAAGATAATGCGTAATGTTGATGCATGTTGAAAGTACATATGTTATTTACATATTGTGAAAATGCCTCTTGTTAAAGGGAGGGGGTGATCGGTAATGGGTCGGATTGTTGAATGTTAAAGTGTAACATTGTCTAAAATAGAGAAAAACTTGTTTTTGAAAAACTTGTGCTTAATTTCGGGGACGAAATTCTTTAAGGAGGGGAGGTTATAGCGATCCCGGGTTTACCCTTGTTGAATAGTGATCTGGACATGTGTCCGTGGATGTTGGTAGTTGTTTATTATCTTGTTGGCATCCTCTTTACTTTGTATTTTGAGTTATAGGATGTGTTGGGCAGGTTGGTTGTGTTTGGGAGACTAGTGTTGCTACCCAGATTTTTGGATCTTCGCTCGAGCGAGGAGTTTGTCGCTCGAGCGAGAGTTGAGTTGTGTCTGGTGGATCGAGCCAGAGTGGCTTCGCTCGAGCGAGCGATTGCGTCTGGTTCTGGACCTGAGAGTTGCATTTCCTGGCTCGAGCGAGTTTTTCTTGGCTCGAGCGGTCTGGTTTGTTCTTCGCTCGAGCGAGAGGTCTGTCGCTTGAGCGTGCTTCTGGTTACAGACCTGAGG